AGCTCTTCATTATCATGCCATCTCTGCTCCATTACCCAAAGTCCAATTAGGATCTAAGAAACAAGGGCTTATAAGTATTACCTGGATGATCACAGAATTGTTTAGGATGGAAAAAACCTTTAAGATCATTGAGTCCAACCACTAACCTACCACTGCCAAGTCCAGCACTAAACCATGTCCCCAAGTGCCACATCTACACCTCTTTTAAATACCTCCAGGGATGGCAACTCTGCCACTCCTCTGGGCAGCCTGTTCCAGTGCTTTGACAACCCTTTCAGTGAAGGAATTTTTCCTAATACCCAATCTAAACCTCCCCTGGTGCAACTTGAGGTCATTTCCTCTCATTCTGTCACTAGCTGCCTGGGAGAAGAGGCCGACCCCCACCTGGCTACACCCTCCTTTCAGTCGTTGTAGGGAGCGATCAGGTCTCCCCTCAGCCTCCTCTTCTCCAGGCTGAACACCCCCAGCTCCCTCAGCCGCTCCCCATCAGACTTGTTCTCCAGGCCCTTCACCACCTTCGTTGCCCTTCTCTGGACACACTCCAGCACCTCATGTCTTTCTTGTCGTGAGGGCCCCAAAACTGATGTGCATGCCAGAATGAAAAGCAACTTCACATTAAATTATTCTAAAAATAATCACTTGCACATAAAAAGATATGATCAGAAGTCACTCATGTAATTTCATAATTTCAGAAGACATAAGCACACAGAAAGCCATCTAAGTATGTTTCTCTATAAGTTTGCTACTCTTCTGGCTTACTTGAAACATAAGTTATTTACTCCACCTTTCCTTTCTCCATGTCTACTTATGTACCACAAATGTGTTGGCAAAAAAAGTGTTTTCTGGTAGAAGTGGCAGCCTGCTGGGTTAAAAAGCTACATACAAGGCTGTTGTAAATAACTCCCTTCCTACCGTAAGTCCCAACACCACCAAAGAGCCCCTTCATAGAAGGATCAGCTGTGATTTAAGTATCTACCTTTAGGTTGCACGTTTGTTTTCTACTTTAGGAGAGCTTCAGTTTCCTCTTGCAGAACACACAGGACTGCTCAACTTGTATATAACTGTTTCTCCTTAATAATTTTTTTAATTTCCAGAGCCCAACCCACTGAAGGACTAATGACGCAGCGTTTTCGGGATTCACGTGAAATAGTTAATAATGCAGTAGATCCAACAAGGCTTCCTCAACCACTGAAGGTGCATCAGCAAGCTCACGTTAGCACAGCAACAGTGTTTTCCTCCTCATCCTTTCCAGTTGCTTGACTAGGTCCTTCAGCTTTCTTCCTATAAGAGGGATAGCCATTTTGTGGGAGTAAAATGAAATTAATAGGTCAGCTGGCAGAGGCTTTGTCAGAAGTAAGTACACACATACCTGAATGTAGACTGTCTCCTTCTACTTTTGAATCATGACTGGGTTTGCTTTCTTGCATATACTGTGCGTTTATGTTGCTCTTGCATTGCTTAGAACGTAGGTGTGACATCCCATTTCAGCCAAGGTTGCTGCACTGTTAGCAGACTCTGTCCCCTTTTCATAGAAAAACACCAGTCCAATGACCCCAGACCCTGGGTATTAACTATTTTATACCATGGTTTTTTCCTTTCTTTTTTTTTTTCTTTAAAAAAAGAAAAGTCAAGTATCTTGATAATGATTGCATCTTAGCTAATACTCTATTCTCTGAGGCCAGCATCACTTGCCAGATCTGGTCTATCTCAGCTACACACACAGAAATCATTTTAAAGTCTGACCTTCAATCACTGTAATACAATAGGTGTAGAGACACTACCAGTATCTGGTAGCAGCAGATCAAGAGACTTGTTGGGAAAGAAAGAAAACAGCATAGAGGAAGATACAGTCCCATGCAGCCTGTGCCCCAAAGCATTCCCTCCCTCCAGCAGGGACTGCCCAGGCAAGTGCTATGTAGCACACCTGACTGGCAAAACAGCCAGCCGTGTGCAGCACATTAATTATAATCCTGTGATAAAATTCCCAGAAAAGGAATTCAGCTGGGAAATTTACAGAAGTAACACAGCAGCACTGATTGATTCTTATTTCAAGGAATGGTACCAGTTATTTGCTATCCCATTAGGGTTTAATACGTACAAAATATATCTTTTCTTTCAACACATTACTACTTGTGTTATTATCAATACAGTCCTAGTTCAAGCCAGTTATAATTTCCACTTTTTAAAAGTTGTGTCAATGAGTTATGTACAGAGACATTTTATTTTCAAGAGCTATTTCAGGTAATTGCTTTGACTAAAGTTGGCTTTAACATGAAAAGAAACTCTTTGAACAAGAGGTAATCTTGTTTCAGGGAAGAAGTTAAACAAAAGAAAATCACTGAAGCTAAGAGTTCAGATTTAATCTTGTTAGCTCAGTAAGTATACTACAATTACGGCTATAAACTCCAATATAAACCCACCACTTTTGTTATCAATTCATGACGAGTAATTAAGCTGGATACTGAGACCAATGGTAAAGGATGGATGCATGGCACAAGATTTTTCTTCCATTACTCTATTGATATATTTGCTTCTTGCATTTTCCTAAAGCTTATTGTTTTGGATTCTGGGCCAGAAAGGAACACAAAATTCTGTCTGAATGTTATCTAAAGCTCTGCAGTTATGAGGAAACTGGCATTTTAAACCTTCTGCAGCTAAAACTTGTTCACACAACATGTTTATGAAGTGTCAGATGCTACAAAATGCTATAGTTAACAGTACCACGCACAAGATATATCCCCAATCCTAACATTGAGCCAATATTGTTTCTTCCCCACTTCCACATTTTTCTAGCATTCTAGTTTTTCCTCAAATTCTCAGTCTCCTTGTCCAGCCACAACCCTACCACCCTTTCAGCAGCGATGTCCCCTTCCTATGAATTCCTTCTCCAACGCAGCTTTCATACAATCATCACCTTTAGACTCCGGTCCCTTTCCATCCCCCTCACCCTCTCATTCCTGACCTATTGGCTCAGTGAAGTCTCAACGTTTTCAAGTTGGGCTTTGAGTCTGCTGCTCTTCCACTTCCTATCAGTCCCACCTCCAGCCCTAATCACCCTGCCTGCTTCCCTGCTACCCAAGCCAGCCAAGGTGCACAGGATCTCACCTCCTGGCAAGGTCCAACCATCTGCTAGGGGACTTTGAGAGCACACAGGACTGATGTTTTCAGTCCTCAACCATGTATCCAAACCCAGAACGACACACAATAACCCACATTTGACAGTTACAGAAGGGTCCTGTTCACCACAGAGAACATTTTTGAGGGAACTAAGCAGCAAAGCATCGCAGTTTCTACCAAGAACCATTAAAGTGAGTTTTCAATGGCTTCTAGCTTGGTTTGTCATAGTAAGAGGGATATACCTGACACCTAAAGGTCAGCACCACAACTGGTGTCAGGCACCTAATACCAAAGATGCTTAAAAGCAGAGGTCACTGGAGTGGCACAGGGCTGAATGCTTACACAGTGCACGTACAGACACTGCCACAAGTACCTAGGCAGCTACTGTGAGAAGTTTGGGTTCAAATGGCTGGTTCCACAAAGTCACAAATAACAGAGTAAGGGACTGAATGAGAAGTGCTCAGTAGCCTCACCGAAGAGATAATATAAACCTGAATGAAACTATCAGAAAAGCTGCATCAGGCTGTGAAGATACATTTCACTATTATCCTTCCATGCAGAATGAGAGGAACTTTTTTTTTATATATAATCTGCAAGCATTCATATCCAGAAGTTGTTTAAAACACTCTTCTAATAAGAAATTATTGAAGTCATGACAAAAGATTAACAAGTTCGAGGAAATAAAAAAAGGAACTAGAAGTGGAAGAATGGAAAAGAGATTAATAGAGAAACTCTGCTGCTATCATGCATTTAATGCCCTCGGAAAGGTATGTGTACACAGGTGTTGTATTTACACCCAGGGGCCAACTGTGACCAACAGCTCGCTGGAGGTACGCTTTCACAAGTCACATTGACAAGCAGTCATGCAAATTACTGCCGTATCACTTCCAGGGGAACATTGCTTTTGAAAGTCAGTATCAATTTCATACAAGGGTCTACGAAAAGATCACGGAAAGGAGTTTTAATACATGCATTAACATGACAAGGTTGAATTTGATTAAAGAAATTCTGCTAAAGAAACAAGAGAAGTGATTGAATTTATCATTCTGCACTGAGATTTAAAGGATGGGTAATCATATGGGACTGGCAACTTCAAAAAGTGGTATATAAAATATTGGACATATTCAAAAACACAAGTTATCAAAAAACACCGCAGAGTACAACGCTTAAAATCACAGGCTGTGCTATTACAAATGGTGTATGTTCAGCAGCAGATCTTTAGCCCTAAATCTTGAATCAGTGAATTCATTTAATTCCCTGCGGGCAATGAATAAGGGATCTTAACATAGCATGCAAAAATGTGACATTACGGAAGTTTCAGTTCTAAAACAGCCTACACCATCAAGATGCTAAGAGATCACCCACGTTTGTGGAAATTTCAAGGGTTAGCCCATAAATGGATGAATATTTGACATCAAAGCAGTTTCCACGTCAAGATACTTTCAAATATAGTTGTTAACAGTTGTAGAGTCCTTTTCTTCTTAGGGTACACGAGAACTGGAGTAGAGCATTTACTGCTCTAACCGCAGAGGCTGATGCTAGCTTCTCAGGTTAAGAGCCATTAGAAAAAATATTTCGCAAACAAGTTCTACAGCAATATTAACAGGCTGATAAAAAGGCATTACAGCAATTACTTTCAGCAAGACAGCATCATCTTTTATGAAATCTAGATATAAAAAAGCAGAAGAATATAAACATAAGACCCTTAAGCATTCAAGAACATCTTACCTAAAAGCATAAAATACTCCAGTCTTTCCTACTACATGAAATATTTAAGCTACATGAAGCATGCCTTGGGGAAATTAAAATAAAATGTATATTATATAACAACCTACATAGAACAATTCAGAACTTTAAAGGAAGACAACTGCTGCAGTGTTTAACAGTCTCCTGTTGACAGAACAACAGAACTGAATCTCCCCAACAACTGATGGCAAAGTTGTAATGACTGCAGCGTATCAAAACTGCAGAAATTGAGGTCTGCAATTTCTTTTTTGCTGTGCTTTCTCACTGAACTTATTCATCGTAATACTTAGCAGTATGGTATAAAAATGCTGTTTATGGACTGCTCAGAATTTCATTTAGGTCTTCTCTCATTATTAGCTTCCAGTGAAATGCTGTCAGTATCCCTCAATGTTTTAATCACACTTGGTGAAGACCGTATCAGAAGAAAACAGAAAAAGTTACAGAAGCAGGTTAAAAAGTAATTAATATCAAAAGTTTTTCTTAACAAATAATACAGCTACTAAATAACCAAACGTTTTGATACCTTGCATATACTAAAAGGCAGCAGTTTTAGAAGCTCTAAAAATACTACTTGCAATAACAGTGTTTACATGCCTAACACTGTCAGGACAGCCTCCTGATTTCATATGGCAGTTGGAGTGTGTGTGTTTAAGCAAGGAATACCAGGAAGCAGAAGACAGACAGACTGAGTATATTTGATGATAGCTGACTCAGAGCATGCTGAAGGTAGGATTTGAAGTACAAATGAAAATCATTTTACAGTAGACTTGCTCCATGATTTTTGTTTCCTCACCCTTCCACCCAAAAATATGCTATATTAATACATTCTAGTTAACACTTTGTAAAGCTAATGAAACTGAGCTTCAATGAAACTGGCAAGCATCTGCTGATACACAGTCTGCTTCATACGTACTAGAAGCTTATTGTAGGCTGCCTAGCAGGATGCATTTTGTTCTGAAGAAGCATCAAAGTATTTTCCTGATCTTAAGATTTGGTAAATTCTCAAAAGCTTTTAAGAATACAGTAGTTCAGCATTATCAATTCTTAAAAAAAAAATAAAATCTTAATATTCACCACTTATAGTCTAGTTTTAACTGACTACATTATTTCACTTAATGTATTATTCAGAGATTTACTGTCCAGGAGACAGGTTGGGATCACTGTGATCCATCAAGTGGTCCATTTCTTCTTGACATTATCTACACTGACATCTTTAAGGATTTTCAAAAGAAGATACTACTAAAACCACATCATTATGACTGAAGCAATTGGTTTCATTTCAGGCAAAAATCAAGACAATACTCTCACTTGTTTAAATCAGTGTTCTCTATAAAACCCAACATTTGTCCAAAACACCCACAAACCCCGACTGATGGACAACAGCTTCACTTAAAAGAAAACACATTTGGAAGCACTACACAATGTTTAGTACCACAAACAAGCGCATTTTGGACTGGTCGTGAGTGTAACAGCTTGATGGCTTCAGTCCTTCCAAGTCTTGATGGACAGCTTAAATAGCATTTTTAAGAAATGTAAACTGAACAAGCATAACTTCAGGCAGCTGCAAAAGCCATCCAGATGCGTATCTATCACAGTGAGATAGCTATGCAGCTGTTCCGAGATTCACAGCAACGCTGTAACCAAATACTGTTAACTATCGCTACCGGCTCTGTGTAATTAGCTTAGAAATAATACCTTCATCGCTCAATATCACCAGCCTACTGGGATCCATGCTGGAAAACACATAATGCTTTGCAGAGCCGTTATTCAAGCCCGCCCTCCCAGATCATGGATATGATTTTTTTTTTTTTTTAATTTTCCTCTGGGCAAGTTCTTCCTCCCCTTTCGCCAGAGCTCTCTAGGAAAGTCTGCAAAGCTCAGACAAAGGCCAACCACCCTGTAAAGGGGACACCCGACAGCGAGCAACCGACGGCTGCAAAGGAAGCGTTACCTCCGTTGATGGGGACGGGAGCCACCAGCAGGCCCTTGACCTCCACCTTGGGGGAATCCTGCCCGTAGCGGCCGCGGTCGATCCTCAGC